TCTCTTCAGTTTCTTTCTTCTCATCCGCTGGTTTCATCTTCTCATCAGCCTCATCTCGTGGCTTCTTCTGTGCAGCTTCTTGCTTCTTGTCTTTAGCTACTTCCTTCTCACTCAAAGGCTTCATCGTTTTAGCAGCCTCATCTCTGGTCTTTTCCTCTTCAGCTTTGTCCTTCACCATGGCTGGCTGCATCCCCTCATGAGTTTTGCCGCTGCTCAGCTCCATGTATGGGTCTTCTTTGACATGAACCTTTCGGACAGCGTTTGCAGCTTTCCTTTTCCGCCAGATCTCATCATCAATTTGCTTCGACAGCTTCCTATTAGCTTCCGCTTGCATCTTCTGAGTGTATGAGTTCTGGAGCACCTGAAATGGAACACTGAAGCCAGGCCGGGGGTTCAAAGACAAAGCATTTTGAAGCAGAGCGCTGTCATTCTCCCGATTCTCCAAAAGTGAATCCTCCAGGGTAATTGTCAACAAGAGGTTTGACTTGAAATGGAACCATATGGTGATATGACATGGTTTTAAAGTACTTCAGGGGATATGTTCAGGGATAACTGCACTATCTACTTGACCCGCAAAACAAACAATTATAAACAATTACAATAACAAGACCATGGTCCTTGGAACTCTCGAAGCGGCTCCGGCATGGGCTTGCTACCGGGATGTGCTGCAAAGGATTGTACATGGTGTCCTTGGCAAAAAATCAGTGCACGGAAAGTTAGATGCTTGCACCAATTCCAAAGTGTTTTCCTGCAATCACTAACATATGTTTGTTGAGGTTGGGTAGAACATGTTATTTTTAGACTTGCACGGTGCATGGGGTGACCTCATTGGAACTTCCCAGGTCCCAGGTTCTTTCCGGCGATGCCGGTGAGGCACAGGCTGGCCCAAGACAAGGGTCGTCTCAGAGTCCCAGGATTCCATGTCATCCTGCCAAGCGCAGGAAGAGCTTAGATTTTTCTTGAAACAATTCAAAGATATTGTTTATGTACTAAGTACCCAAAGCAACAAAACATCTATATGGGTATTGAACAAAAACCATCACCAGTACCACAACAGTGAGCTGCAAAGATCTTTGAAATATATAACTGACATCCTGTCCTCGCTATCTCTCCCAGTGTTTTTGTTTTTTGCTTCAGCCAAATCTGCAATGTCTTGCAGAGACAGCTTGTTGACAGCCTTCTGAAGCTCTGACATCTCTCCCTCTTCCGGTTCATCATCCATAGCCTCCTCAGAGTCTCCATTGTCTGCTGTCTTCTTCTTGCCAGTCTTGTTCTTGCTGCCCTTCTCATTCTTTGCCTCTTTCTTTGTGGTCGGTCTCACATTGGAAGCTGGCTTCTTTGTAGCTGTCTTCTTGCTCTTGCTGTCTGCTTCTTGCAAATCGTCTCCATCATCTTCATCCTCATCGCCCTCCTCTATGGACTGGAAGACTGCATCTGCAGAATCACCATCTGTCGGTTTCTTTTTCTTCTTCTCATCCTGCTCCTTGTCCTTCTTCTTTCCACCTTTAGAGTCTTTCTCCTTCTCTTTCTTTGACTTTTTCTCATCCTCTTTCTTTGGCTTCTTCTCATCCTCTTTCTTTGGCTTCTTCTGCTCATCTTCTTTCTTTGTTTTTTTCTCTTTTTCATTCTTCTCCTTTTCCTTCTCGTTCTCCCCAGGGGACTCGGAAGAGCTCGGCAATGCCACCCGTCCAAACCCAGCAGTCCCACGTGAACCTAGATCTTGTCAAGGGGTGTCCAGAAAACAAGGCACCAAAGGAACAAGAACTTACCAACCTGAAATGCAGAAACTCAAAATGTTGCCAAGCAAAACAGTCAGTCAATTAGTTGAAACTGGGAAGGGACACACTACATGTTGAAATGTGCACTTAAAAGCTCCAAGTCACTTGCAGCAGTCGCTGGTTCCTGCTGAGAAGACCGTCCAGTAGCTGAGTTTAGCCCTAGCACATCCGAGTAGTCAGCGACAGAGAACTTCCTTTCAATTCTCACATTGCCAGCAGCTCCACATACACTATCATCAATCTCTGACTCTGATTCAGAGACATGCACAGGCGAAGCCATGGATACCACAAGTGGGTCCAAGTGGTCACAGCAGTTGGTTCCAAACAGCTAGGTGTACTTTGAACCTCAAACCTGTCACACTTGGAACCATGGATTTGGCTCTACTTTCATGGCTGGTTTGCTCGATTTATGGGCGCAATGGGTCCAATGTATTTGTTTGACCTTTGTCAAAGCACACATGCCAAGAAAATTGCAAGCACTCACGCACACTGCGGGGCACTGACATGTCTATCAGTGATGTTGATGCAGTGTGGGGCGCATGCAAATCCAAACCCCAATCACCAGTTGCCAGCATATCTCCAGGAAAATATGAACTCAGATTAGAGTTGGCTCGGGTACAGTGCAGTACTTTGGTTTTGTTTCTTAATGGTAACATTACTCTTGAATCGCTATGAGTTTTATCTTAAAATATAAAGCATTTAATGAACTATACTCTACCAGTTGGAAGGGAATGAACCCTGGAACTATGCATGGCCCCTGCACCACTCTCACATCAGGCGGTAGAGCTTGTCAGCCTCGCATGACATCGACCCAGGAAGAATTGCCACTGGTCGAATGGGCGCAATCTCCTTTCCACCCTCGCCACTGGATTGCAACCTGAGCATGGCTTGGGGGGCTTGGTGATGACATCGCATGATGTGCCAAATCTGGCATATCTAACCATTATGGGTTTTCTTTTTCTAGCCATTATGGGTTCTTTGTGTCAGTCATGTCATGCAAAGATTCAAAACACAAAAGCTACTTCATAAGAATGGCCCCGTCCATTGGATCAATTAGCAGGTTAGTTATCACCAATGAGGTCATCAATGAGATGCCTGGTATAGTCCAGATTCTGAAAGCCCCACCCCAAATCAATGGCTCCGTTGCTGCATCAACTTGTCAAGTTGAATCCGATGGCGAAACAATGGGGAAACATAAAAGCTTCCAAACCAAGCAAAGAACTTCACCCTCCAACAGATTTTGAAGTTGGTAGAGCTGCGTACCTTTGCCATGTTGAGCCTCGCTCCAAAAGTAGGAACAGAGCCCACCTGTGAAGGGTTTGTGAAGGGTTGGTGGCCTCCAAGGAAAACCAATCACTGGAATAATCAATTATTGTTGAACAAACAGTTTACCAACAGGTACCTTCTTCAGCAAGGTCTTCTCTTTAGGGGGGTCCAAAACGAAGCAGCACGGCTTTGTCCTTTTCACAGCTGTCCCATCCACAGTGTGGATAGCAATGCTGACCCCAATCTCACCAGCATTCTCCAGGGCGCGCAGCAACTCAGTGATTTTCACCACCTGGATTGGATTGAGACTCAGAATGCAGGCGTCATGTGGTAAGTTGGTTATATACCCATGGTGGGAACTGTGGAATTGAATTCTGGAGAGGGCAAAGCTCGCAATCAGATAGAACAAGCTAAGAAGACATCATCATTACTATCGCTACTTTGTTTCAGTGGCGCTGCCTATTATTCATCAATGCCAGTACTTGCAATAAGTAGAAATATTCATCCTTGATCATGTAGGGTATTCCATGGGAAGTACTGTAAATGTTTGGAAAGAATTTCCAACTAGTGCAGCTTGGGGTCTTTGTTGAAAACGCTCAGAGACTCGATGTGGTCACCCAGCTTCTTATCAGCCTCTGCAATGACCAAGTCATCCAAGGACATTATTTGATAGGATAGCCACCTCCCAGACTTGCTGCTGTCGTTCATGATGTCGGAAGCTTCCTGTTTTGTCCAATGGATTGCCCAATGTATGTAATATTATGTAATGGTATCTTATGATTTTGAGTTTGCCAAAATGGTTTGAAGAAAACAATGTTCGAGTGAGAACGCTTTAAGGTCCCAAAATCAAGACAAGTATCATTGTTTTGAGCAAATGCTCCACTCCCAAATCCCCAAAGTTCTGTGTAGGCGCTGATCTCCACTGGAGAGCCGGTTTTCTCTGGGCCAATCCACAAGACCTCATCGTTTTTGTCCAGCAGAAGCTTGAAGGAGCCACATGCCAAAGTGACCCTGAGCAGATTGGTAGTTAAGGGGCCAGAGGACACAAGAGAAAACAATGCCAATCAGTATGAACATAACTGGGGAGCGCCAAAAGCATTGAACATATGGCAATTCTCAAAACTTGGGCGAGTAACTTGTCAACATCTGGGATCAGGCACTCATCCACCAAGGGCATCGTCTTGTCGATGCACAACTTTTTCTGTTGTGGCTCTTCTGACTTGGCGCTTGGCTGCTCAGAAGGCTCAGCTCCACGCTTGACGCCCCGAGGATTGTAGCGGGCATTGTGGTCTTTGATCAAAGCTTCCTGGCGGCGACTTTATGTGTGTCTGTGTGTGTGTGTATGTCAAGTGTTGGATTGAAAGGTTGCTTGTTGCAAGAAACCCCAAACAAAGGGGTGAGATTCATAACATCATGTTTTGAAATAAGATTTGAAAGGCCATGCTTTGAAACAACGATTTGGGTCATCAATAAACTAGAAACCCACTGATGCCAAAAGATCAAGTTGATCGAAAACATAACATCTTGGCAAGTGGCGGCTTCATCTTGGAACCCATCGTTTTTGATAGTCCACAAGTCGATCAACGCTGATTTGATCACAAGGCCGCCATCAGCCAGGGGAGTGCACACAGTGTACTGCGGCTGTGTGTTGGACTGGTTGCTCTTTTTCAAATCCTTGATGACAGACATGAAGTTGGGAAAGCCCGGGATCTTGAGCTTGTTCTCGCGGGCAAGCGAGAAGATCTTGTTGCTGGTCATCTCCCCAACAAATTTGGTCTCATACAAGGAATGGCAGATTGTGCCTGCAGCAAATTTGTGTCCCTTGCAAATCTGACCCAAAACGTACGCTGCTGGCCAACCATCAAACCCCAAGAAGTCCACCAAAATGTTGTGGTTCTCAGCCGGTTCACATAGGGCATTGACAAAGGACTCCACCACGGACGAGCCGGCAAGGTGCTGGCCAGGGATAGAGAACCATGTGATAACAACCTCCTATGTTCATTTAAAAGAGTGGGATAAAATTGAAGCAATGGTCGATGAAGTTGGTTGAGCAACCTTTGCCAAAAACTGATGAAGTAGGATGAGCCGAGGTGAGCAACAAGTAAGTTGGGCGGTGTTTATGGATGGAGATACTCAAATCATCTCTCAATTCTGAATTCTCATATTTGCATCTTCATGTCGCGGGACGTTTGATCAAGTTCATTCATAGGTATGACACAGCTTCAATACAACACAAAGGACTGCCATAATAATATGAGTTTCAATTTGGTTTCCGAACAGCCCAGCCTGCTTGAGCTCTTGAACGCGTGTCAGCTTGCCATCCGAGGCAAAGACTTTGGATGGGCGCTCCACCTTGACCATGTCGCCTCTTGGCAGCATGGAGGCGCCCTGCACAACGCTTGTGCGCCAAGCCTTCGACTTGTGGAACACATTGTGCTTGTCGGACGCAGTGATCAGCAAGCACTGATGGCAGCCACTGCGGTTGCCATACACTGTGGCCTCGTCGAACACCAGGGTGCAAGTTTTCACCTGCGCAATGAATGTTCATGAATTTTCTATTGGAGTGTATCAATCATGTTCCAAATTGAGCAGGTTACACTCATGTCCCACAAAGAGTGGATTAATAACCATGCACCATCCTGACTGGACCACACACACAACCATGCCCCACACTGAGTGGATGATGACCATCATGATAACCATCTCCCAAACTGAGCGGAATACAACTGTTCCATACGCTCCAAAGTGAATGGGTTATAGCCATCTCCCAAACTTGGTGGACTACAGTGTCCCAACAGAATGGATTATCACCATGCACCACACTGAGTGGATTGTAACCAAATCCCATGCTCCATTGGGGGTCGGTTATGGTTATCCCCCAAAGTCAGTGGGTTATATCAGTGTCCCAAACGGAGTGGATACAACCCAGTCCCAAACTGAGGGGATTGTTATTATAAAAACTCACTCCATGTTCCACGCTGAGTGGATTGAAATTACTATGTTCTGCGCTGAGTGGGTAGGCAGCAAAAACCAGCTTACTAAAGCAAGGTTTGACAGGAAGCAGCTGAAACAAGACAAAGTCACACGAAGAGCACGCTCAGACTCCAAGAAATAGTTCTTGACCTTGTAGACAAACTCATGCGGAACAGCTTCAGCTGAGTCTGCTTTGTCATGGTTGTCTTCCTCGTCTTCGTCCATGGCGACGGCATCGATAGCTCCTCCGGGAGCAAAACAACAAACATCAGTACGGGAACAAAAACCTGAAATGAGCTTGGTATTTGGGGTACAGCCCTATTCAACACTTGAAAGGTTTTTTGAAGCTGGTATCCTGGGTCTTTCTCATCAGCATCATCATCGTTGTCCTCCTCCTTCTTTTCCATCCTGGCGCAGGTAGCATGACATATCATTACAGTGAGCCCTTTTAGTCACCACACAGAACTACAAAACATGGCACCATTTGCTTTCCTATTAAAACATGATGAAATAAAGGCAAGGCACTTGGTTGGCGTTCTCAGGTCGCCGGATCGATTTGGAAGCATCACGACGGCGCAGAAGGTTCTTGGGTTGGCATGGGCCATGGAAGTGATGGTGTTGACTGTGAACTCAGCCTTCCCTGCCGATAGCACACCAGAAGTAACATAGTTGCACCATCCGATGAGCCGTTCACTTTCAGTCCGCCGCAAACCAACCCCAAAGCCTTGCATTGTGTCTTGAATCCAGGGCAAGACTTTGGCAGCGACAGCGCCGGTAGTCTTCTCTTTGTCACAGTCTCCTGCAGGGCTTGGACCAAACAACATCACACGCCCAAGGTTGTTTTCCATGATGGTGATACCTTTGAAAGACCCACTGGGTTTTTTTGATGGCTGGATTGGACAGCTTTGTGTGACAAAGTCTTTGTATAGTTCCAATTTCTACAAGTAAGTTTTACATGCAACTTGCCAACCCAACCAATCACTGCAGGGTCACATGGCCACACTGTGCACCTAGATCAATAAATGGTACTCGGTGCCATGTTTCAATTTTTTTTTTGAAACTTATGGAACCAATAATTGGGAGAATCATCATGGATATGTTTTTTAAGTTCCCATCCAGAGACTGAGAAAACCATGGGCCTTGGTTCTTCTGCGGTGAAGCATTCCAGGTCGGCAGGCTGTCGGTAGCAAAAGTCTGCACCAAGCCCCATGCTGTTGAATGCATTTTCTGTCAGGGATCAAAACATAAAGAAGCCCCAGGCTAAGACTAAGACAAACAAACTGAGACAACATGTTTTAACATCCTTTAACGTTGTGAGAAACAAAGCAGAGCAGAACGTTGTGGCCTCCAAAGAAGTCAGAGCAGAACTGCGAGCCCGAGCTTCGTCAGTCTTGGCAGCAGCCAAATGTCGTTCATGCAGCACCTGGTCATTGTCCAGCGACGTCTTGAACAACAGGAAACCAGCCTGAAGGCTACTCTTCCTTGCGTTCTGAACAGCATTCTGAGCTTCCAAGATGTGAGTCTCCTGAACTGCCCCTGTAGCCTCTGCAAAGAAAGCCAGCTTGTTCAGCTCAAAACTGGGGTCGTTCCCCTTGATGTGTGCACGCAGCTCAGAATCCAAAGCCCTCAGGGGACACGTTGCATTAGTGCACATGAGTACAATAGGGCATGAGGACATGAGCGTGTAACACAAGTATGTGAGGACACACTGGGTCATGAGTGTGAAACAACCCCCGTGGCGCAGGCTGATTTGATATGACGATATATGATGGGAGATGATGCACAGCTGCACTTGGAGCGGTTCCATAATGGGTGATCCCTGGAACATTTTATCTGGGTGCATGATGGATAAACCAATGGTGGATGCACATTGTAATGTGGAAATATCGGTGATGATGAGCTATTACTGAGCAGGTGCAGCCATTATTAACACTTAAAAGCTGTTTGAGTTGTGTCGATAATTGATGCATGGTATAAGGTGGGATAAGATAGGGCCCTTTCCTTGGACAAAGCTTTTTGTTCACTATGCGCTGGCTATTTCTCAACACTTGGGACTGCCAGACTTGGTGGCTGCCAATCAGTAAGTGACTTGGGTTCCAGGCGGTTTGATCTTGTTCTGAACTGAATGACTTGTACCGGAACGAATCATACACCCCTGAAATCTTAGAATTTACTATATTTTTAGGGTTTCAACATTATCAAGAAAGAGTACATGGTTCCAACTTTTGATCAAACATTGTTGGGTCTCCAAACATGATCTATGTCTTCCCCAGCCTGAGTGTTTTTAGCAGAATCAAAGTAATACTTGATGTCCAGAAGCCCTCAAGTAAAGCTTCAAACATTGCCAAAGATAGAGCATCGGTGGCTCCCCAATGTTACTTATTTTTGTGGGTTGGTTTCCCAAAGAACTTTGGGATTGTGTAGGTATCCCCAATTTTGGATAATGTTGGGTGTATCTAGAATCTAGCCAGCATCCCTGAATCATGCGGTTTTGGGGTCAGTATCCCTGAGTGATGCGGTTTTTTTTAGCCAGTCTCCCCGGATCACGCGGTTTTTTTTAGCCAGTCTCCCCGGATCATGCGGTTTTCTTTAGCCAGTATCCCTGAATCATGCGGTTTTTTATGGACAGTCTCCCTGGATCACGCGGTTTCTTTGCCAGTTTCCCTGGATCATGCGGTTTTTTTTAGCCAGTCTCCCTGGATCACGCGGTTTTTTTTAGC